TTAAATACGGAGTACGGATTATATTTTTTATGTTCTTGTATTGACGTATTGTAATAAAAACTGAGATTATTTTTGCCGAATTGAAATAATTTTTATTGGATAATACGTAATTTTAGTGATTTTTATGGAATTAAAATTATTTTATTGAACTGGACTTATTTTAACTAAACTGAAATTATTTTTACTGAATATTATAATTTTTTATTTTTTATTTTTATTTTTTATCTTAGTTACATTTATTAAAATTGGTAAGTGAGATATGAATTTAAGTGAACTCAGGAGAAGGCCTTACTCCTCAAAGATCAAGGTCAATTTTGCCCGAATTAGCAAGCTATAGAGTAATCTCTTTGGAAATGGGGGAGGATTAGAAGCGCCCATCCCAAAGTGTTCGTAATCCTAGCATTTTCGATTAAGGCCCTGTTTGGCATAACAAGTGACAGCCACCAACTTTTAGTGTCCGAGTAACGATTAGTTATCGGAGTAGCGAGTGGTGTCAATTAGTAATGGCTAGAGGTTAGCTGTTAAGGAAATAGTGGATAGTAGGAAGGTAATGGTGGATACTATGAATATTTGATAAAATTAACGGTTGAAATACTATAGTACTCTTACATACATATTATTTAAAAATGTAACCAATGATAAATGCTACCTTGTACGAAGTACTTTTAAACTGCTATTATTTTTAACGTTTGAGAAAATTTACTCAAATACTACCTCTATTATTCAAATCAGTACCTTGTCAAACACTCTTACAAAATATTGTATTCTTCTAGTGATCACTACTTCAAACGCTACATGCTTACAACCAAACAGGGCATAAGCAAATTTGCTTGAAAATAGGAAGGAAAAATTACTAAAGCAGGTTAATATGATTAATGGATGAAAACAATTGAAATCCGTAAATAACTAATTAAGTTATGAATGGGCCCAGTCCGTAAAAATCAAGCACAGTAGTAGTATCTGATTCTCTAATTTGGTAGGTCAATTTTGAATTTCCTTTAATTTATTACTTTATTATAATATAATATAATATAATTTGAATTTTCAGTAATTGAAAACCACTTGCCTTTCTTTACAATTTAGGGCCCAAACTAAAGCCATTCTTTCCTGTAAATTGGCCGCCGCTCATTTTCCACCAACCAAACAACCCTCTTCTTAAAGGTCGTCAACTCTCCACTAATTTAACAAATTACATTTCTTCATTTTCATTCATAATAAAATTAAAAAAAAACATCAACATCAAATTAAAACACTAATAATAATATTACCACATAAATCAACGTATTAATCACATGGACTAATTCTCATTTCCCACAATCCAGGCACAATCCACCGTTGATCTTTAATCATACGGTGTAAAAGCTAGGACACACAATTAGGTTTGACAGGACCCACTACACCGTAACATTTCCCGGGGCCCCCCAATTATAAATATCTTGAGTAGCAGCAACCCTTGCTTTCTCTCTCTTACCTTGCTCTCTCGCTGCAAAACCCTCGCCCATCAGCCAGCCGTTTGCAGGTTTCTCTCTCCTCTTTCTCCTCTCTCTTTAAAATCATCTGATTTTACATTTGATGAATGATTTTTGTTTGATTGAAAAATAGTTTGATTCTCATTTTGCATTTTTGTTTTTCAATTTCTGTGTAAGATTTCATGTTCATTTGATTGTCATTTTTGATGAGGTTTTGTGGTGCTGTTTTCGATCTGTTTATGAAATTTTGTGTTGAATTATGGATCTACATTTTTGCATTTTTTTTAGCTAGATCTGTAGATCTGGTTTGTTTTGTGTTGATTATATTGTTGTGTTTGTGGATCTATTGAATTTTGTTGATTTTTCTGAGTTTTGAATGGATCGTGAATTTATCGCATTTCAATCGTAGATCTGATTCATTTTGCCGGTTTATTGCTTTTGGAGTTTGAATCTGAGTGGAAAAAGTCAAGTTCTATGTGATTTGCACGTTAGCATTATTAGTTTATATGATGATTTTAGGTCTGTTTGTTGTCTCTTAATTAGATTTAAGAAATAAATAAGTCTATTGATTTGAATTAGTCTTCCTTGGTTAATGTACAATTTGCTAGAAATTGCTTGGTTTACGCTGGTTGCTTTAGTAATATTAACATGTATATGTGTAATTATTGTTAATTATGTGTTACGTAACTTAGATTCAACTAGGGCTTGATTTTGGTATCAAATGAGGAGCCAAAAGTGTCTTGTCAATGTCAATGTAGTGTATTTGAGTTCCCAAAAAACGGGAGATGAACGAAGAGTCGGGGTAACATAGTTTGCTTGAATCCAGGATTTGGATATTGTTTTTATTATGTCATTTTATTGTCGCATGAATTAAGTGATGCCTTTTGTGCTTCTGGATATTCCTTGCACTGTGTATGAAACTATGAAACATCTGCTTACTGTTCTATGTCTGAAACGTGTTTTTTCAATTGCAATTGTTTCAATTGAAATTAAAGCTTTTGTATGAGCAAATCTGAGCATTTTTAAGAGATGAATTATTTTCCAGTCAATTTATGCTGTTAAGATCCAGTCAATCATTGGTCTTAGTTCCTTTCCATGATCTCGATATAAAATTTCAATATTATTGGTTCGCTGTGTAAGTATTAATGATTATTTTATTCTAGCTTTGTATATGAATTTTGTTTTGGATGCGATGTGCTTATAATTCTGTTTGTTTTTATGGTACTGTATACTGTGCTAAAATGTTGTTCCACGTTCTTTAGGATATAAATCAGACGTAATGGCTGAGATGAACCAACAACCCTCAGTTATGCAGAAGGCTGCTGCTGGCCAACTCAGTGGTCTATCACATATCAGCCAGCCCCGTTTTGGAGGGTCCCAAAACTCTGCCTTGGTCCAAAGGCGTTTTGCCTACGGAAACTACTCTAATGCTGCGTTCCAGTACCCAGCAACCCAGGATCTATCTTTCGTTTCCAACATGGCTTCACCTGTAGTTGCATACGCCCCTGCTGAGAAAGGACCTGCTGCTTTCGCTATTGATTTTCTCATGGGAGGAGTTTCAGCTGCTGTCTCAAAGACCGCTGCTGCCCCCATTGAGCGTGTTAAGCTGTTGATCCAGAACCAAGATGAGATGCTTAAATCTGGTCGTCTTGCTGAACCCTACAAGGGTATTGGTGACTGTTTCACCAGGACAATGAAGGATGAGGGTATGATTTCCTTGTGGAGAGGAAACACTGCTAATGTCATCCGTTATTTCCCCACTCAGGTGCTTATAAGTTAATCCTTTGCTGTCTTTGCTAATTTCTTGATTTTATTTCTCTTTTTTTATTAGTGAACTTAACAATGTTTTATTTTTCTTGTCAGGCCTTGAACTTTGCCTTCAAGGATTATTTCAAGAGAATGTTCAACTTCAAGAAGGACAAGGATGGTTACTGGAAGTGGTTTGCCGGTAACTTGGCATCTGGTGGTGCTGCTGGTGCCTCTTCATTGTTCTTTGTGTACTCTTTGGATTATGCCCGTACCCGTCTTGCTAATGACTCAAAGGCTGCCAAGAAGGGAGGAGCAGACAGGCAATTCAATGGTCTTGTTGATGTTTACCGCAAGACATGGGCATCAGATGGTCTTGCTGGTCTATACCGTGGATTCAACATCTCATGTGTTGGTATCATTGTCTACCGTGGTTTGTACTTTGGTTTGTATGATTCCGTGAAGCCCGTGCTTTTGACCGGAAAGTTGCAGGTTAGCTACAGATCTATATCATATTTTAATGCAATGTTTTGCTTATTGGACCCTGGATTTTGTGCTTCTAATCTTCAATTGATATTTGGTGGAATAATTCTCTTGGGTTGTTTGTTTTTAGCCCTTCGTGTTTCCATTTCTTTCAATTTAGAGCATGCTTGTTTTGGGGTGATTCATTAAGATGGTTATAGGAGAGCAAATACTAAAATGTTGATAGAGGAGATTATTTATTTATGTGGCAATGATGTGATCATGAATGGGGATGCCACCAGTCTTTCTTACACGGCTACACCAGCACTAACTCATCCACTCCATCCTCGTTCGTTATGTGGGACAATGGACCTAATATTTTCTTCTCCTTTACCCTATTGTTAGTTAATGTTCTACGAAGAAAACAATTGTGGTTCATTGTTTAGCTGTTGGATATACTATCTAATTGTTTTTGGAACATACATAAGTTAGTGTTGAATCTTTATATCTAATATATCTGTATAAAAATAATGTAATAATGTTGTAAAATTTTGATGATTGCAGGATAGTTTCTTTGCTAGTTTTGCTCTTGGGTGGGTCATTACCAATGGAGCTGGTCTTGCTTCATACCCAATTGATACTGTCCGTAGAAGAATGATGATGACCTCCGGTGAAGCTGTCAAGTACAAGGGCTCATTCGACTGCTTCAAGCAGATTGTCAAGAACGAGGGCCCCAAGTCCCTATTCAAGGGTGCTGGTGCTAACATCCTTCGTGCTGTTGCTGGTGCTGGTGTGTTGGCTGGTTACGACAAGCTCCAGGTCCTTGTCTTCGGAAAGAAGTACGGTTCCGGTGGTGCTTAAGTTTAGAATGCCCTACAACTTTGGGGGAAGATGGTGATGAAAATTTTTTTGGGGGGATGAAACAGTCTGGAATCTAAGGTGGGAAGCTTTCATATACTTAAAAGTTTGATTGAAATAATAATGTAGGGTTTTAAAGATTTTTAGAGGGACTAACCCCACAGTTTTCCCTGAGAATTCTTGCTTGGATTAAAGATTTGTTCTTCGGAGCATGGTTGCAATTTGGTGCTCCTTAGAGTTCTTTAAATTAGTTACATGAGATCAATTTTTGTTATATCAGAATTCAGTACTATTGTTGCCTTCCAGTGAATGGAAATGAAAGGGCACATTTTTTTTGTTAATTGTGTGGTTTTATTCATTCTGCAGTCTTTTTGGTTCACTAATTCATGCCGTATTCCGAGTTTTCGTACTCAAGCTGTGTTAGTAAGTTTTATACAAGGTGGCTTCGTTCTTTTGTGAGACTGTATTTGCGGGGGATTTTTAGTTTATTGAGCACATTTAACAATTCATTTTGTCCAGAATTTTGGTTCATTCATAGTTTTTCATACGTAAACACTTTACTTTGTCCAGAATTGCTGAAATGAATTTAAGTTATAATGGGGCGTCGTACAGAAAGATAAATGTTAAAATTAATTAAAATAGTACTTGTACTTCGTATTACCATTGATAAGATAAACTAGCCATCTTATCAATGGTATCAATAGTTTGCTGAAACAACCATCTATTACTGCCTTCATTTTGGAAGAATAAAGACAAACTAAAAACCATCAATAAATACAGAGTATTCCATAATCTATGGAATTTCTGTATATGTAATTGTATTCTTTCGAGTTGCGCTAGGTATTCCCCTCGTGAGGAGGAGTGCCTAACACTTTCCCTCTATTCCTTACCTTTGAAAAAAAAATAAAAGTTGTAGTCTTTCGAGTTTCCGTACGAATGTACGATACTCATACTTTGTTGTTCAAAATATTCTGGGTATATCATTTTAATTTTGCCCACTTCGCCCACAATTTGTATTCAGTGCTCTTATTTGTATTGTTAGGTCAAACTCAGTACATATTTTCCAAAAGCAAACTTAATAATATTTTCGAGTATATACAATTATATACTCCGTAATCTCGTTAATGTTCAAAGTCATGTACTTGTATTTTCAAACATGAAATTTGATCCAATGAAGAGTAGTATTGATACTCTGTACTTCGTCTTCACCAAAAAAAGAATTTTAAAAAAAAAAACCAATTTATTTTGTAGGTGTTAAGGAGTTACTTCACTATCAGTTCCCTCTAATATAACACAATCGCCCTGGCTGGGTTGAGTCGTGAGGGGTTTTGACCCGATAGAGCCCATTATGTTACAAAAAATTCTGGCCTTGTTACAGTCGTGAGGGGTTCAGGCCTTTATTCAAATTCCCGCCTTTCAGACCTTCAAACCACCAAAATTGAGGCACCAAAAATTCATACTTCCCTCAAAAAAACCCAAATTTCTGATGATCAACCACATAATATTGAACTCGAGATTTCTCTCTCATCTTCCAAATTCTCTCTCTTTGATCTTCCCTTCGTTTCTCCACAATCGTTCTCTCTCACCTTACAAACCAAAACCCAGCAATTGGAACACCAATCATTCCTTTGTAAAATCAAACCCAATTCTCAATCTCCTCGAAAAATGCAATTCCATGGAACATTTGTTTCAGATTCAAGCTCAAATGATCATTTCTGGGCTCATCTTAGATGGGCTTGCTTCAAGTCGATTGATTGCGTTTTGTGCAATTTCTGAAGCTGGTGATCTTGATTATTGTGAGAAAATTTTGAAGTTTGTTGATAACCCTAAAGTTTTTTCTTGGAATATTGCAATTAAGGGTTATTCAGAGAGTTTAATTCCAATTAAAGCTGTTAAATTGTATAAAGAAATGTTGAACAATAGTGGGTGTCGTCCTGATAATTTTACTTATCCTCTGATTTTTAAGGTTTGTGCTCGTTTGTCATTAAATTATACTGGTTATGGTATTCTTGGGCATGTTTTGATACTTGGTTTAGATTCAGATGTGTTTGTACATAATGGAATTATTCATATGTTGGTGTCCTGTGGTCGTTTGGATGATGCACGCAATGTGTTCGATGAAAGTTGTGTGAGAGATTTGGTTACATGGAATTCTTTGATCAATGGGTATGTACATTGTGGCCAGGCTTGCAAAGCGTTGAAGCTGTATGAGGAAATGAGGGTGGAGGGAATAAGGCCGGATGAGGTGACAATGATTGGGATGGTTGCATCATGTGCACAACTCGAGGATTTTAGTCGAGGGTTGGAGTTTCATCGTCTTATTGGTGATTATGGACTGGATTTTACCGTCCCACTTTGCAATGCGTTGATGGATATGTATGTTAAATGTGGGGATCTTAAGGCGGCACAGGATATATTTGATAATTTGAGGAAGAAAACCATGGTTTCGTGGACCACCATAGTTGTGGGATATGCTAAATTTGGGTTGCTAGATGAGGCGAGGGAGCTGTTTGACAAGATGCCTGAGAAAGATGTGGTGCCGTGGAATGCCATGATTGGAGCATATGTTCAAGCTAAGTATAGTAAGGAGGCTTTGGTTCTATTTCATGAAATGCAGGGTGCAAATGTTACGCCTGATGAGATCACTATGGTTAACAGCTTATCTGCTTGTTCTCAACTAGGAGCACTTGATGTTGGGATATGGATTCACTGGTACGTCAACAAGAAGAAGCTTTCTTTGAATGTTTCATTGGGCACAGCTCTTGTTGATATGTATGCCAAATGTGGTAACGTTGGAAAGGCGCTTGAAGTTTTCCATGAGATGGCTTCGAAGAATTCATTAACTTATACTGCTATCATTGGAGGCCTAGCCCTTCATGGGAATGCAAATGATGCTTTATCATACTTTTCAAAAATGGTTGATGTTGGATTGGTGCCAGATGAGATCACATTCCTTGGAGTCTTAGCTGCTTGTTGTCATGGGGGATTGGTTGACAAGGGCCGTCAGTACTTTGCTGAAATGACCATATATAATCTTACTCCAAACCTTAAACACTACTCTTCCATGGTGGACCTACTTGGTAGGGCAGGAAAATTAGAAGACGCAGAAGCACTTATAAAGAGTATGCCTATGGAGCCAGATGCCGTTGTATGGGGTGCTTTGTTTTTTGCTTGTCGTATGCATGGAAATGTGATAATGGGTGAAAAAGCTGCATTGAAACTGCTTGAGTTGGATCCTGGTGATGGTGGAATATATGTTTTGCTGGCAAATATGTATGGGGATGCAGAAATGTGGGACAAATCCAGAAAAGTAAGGAAAATGATGAAGGCTAGAGGAGTTGACAAGACTCCTGGTCGTAGCTCAATTGAGATCAATGGAGTAGTCCATGAATTCACTATAAGAGACAAGACACACCCTCAATCCAAAGAAATATTTGATTGTCTGGTTCAACTAACCAAACAACTTGAGTTGGTTGAAACTATCAGCACATCATGGACTGCGGTATCTGTGTAGAATTACGCTAGTCAGAATAATCAGGAGGTTGTGAAAAAAGTTCCTTTATTCTCTTATATTCACCAAACTTACATGTTGCATCTTATATGCAAAGTCTGTTGTGCTTACTAAGAACTAAATGGTTGGGCCATCCCTCCAGTTATTCATTCATCCCCTTGACTGCAGTTGCTTGAAGGACTGACTTAGCAACCTGAAAGATTTGAAGGAAGATGGCTGAAGACATTCCACTGAACAGAGAGGTAGATGACAATAATTTTGTTACAGGAAGGTCACATAGCCTTCCTTTAGTTTGAAGGAAAAACAGTAAACTATCGTCATCCTTTAATTCTGATACTCAATTTTAAGTACTCCCTACATATGCAGGGTTTCTGGCTTTCAAGAACATCAACTTGTGACTGATCGTTAAACAAAATGTCCTCAAATTTGCTCAATGATCAGACTAATGTCAAATTTTCATCATCTATATGCAGTTTGTTCAAGTTTCTGCAAAGTGGCTACCTCATGCAGCAAACTAGTGACTTGACTGACTTCTATTGTCGGCGTCAAAGGTCAGATTGTCTAGAAGTAAAGTCATGCAATATGGTGAAAGAGATAATAGTCTGATCTCACAGGTGATTCCTGAGGACATAGTTTGGCAGCTGACTAAATTGGTGTAGTAATCCAGCACATATAAAGGTAAATAAAATACTTCTAAACATCTAGTACAGGGTTGGTACTTAAAAACTTCTATTTTTTTACTGCTTTAAAAAATATGTGATCTTGAATACTGCTTGTTGATTCATGTGTATTTCTGACTACTTATGCAGTGGATGTTCTGACAATGGGTTACAACTTCTAGACAAAGATTGATTTTCCTTATCTGCAAGTTCAGGTGAATGTCTTTATATAAAGCAGCTTCAAATTTTATTTTTGCTAGTATTTTCTTGCTCTCCATTTTTTTTTTCTTAAAACAAATTCAAGTTCAAGCCAACTAAAGCTGTCTTAGATCATCATGCATCTTTTTGTTACATGATCTAATACGGAGTACATGGGAAACTAGTAACTTTTAGCCTCTCTGCTCCGCTTCCCCCCCTTGTGATTGATGCTTCTATTTCATCCCATTACAGTCATAAGGGCATCTGATTCTAGTTTTTACTACTTTATTCCTTTTTCTTTGTTGCTCATTTTCACTGTTTTATGTTATGAGATGAATGACTTTATTCATCAGATTTGAGTCTTTAGTATGTGCATCAAACTATGATATGATCAATTTGCTACAAATTAAAATAATTATGCATATCTATAACTTTTACTTAGAAATCTTTACCCTTATCCTTGATCATCCTTAAACAGAGAAATGCCCTTTCTTATAGTTAAATGTTCCCTTCTCTGTTCATCCCTGCTATTTTTACTCGTGTGCGTGTTTGTGTGAGAGTGTGGGTGTTTTTTTTTTTTTTTTTTTTTTTGGGAAGGAGGAGGTTGAATGCATGTAAATAAAGCACAGAAACATGTTGAATCACTGAAACCATCACCAACAGCAGCAACCAAAAATTGATGATTTGTAAACTTGTTTTTCACTTCTAGGACGACGAGTGCATGACATGTGACTTCAATTGAAGCATGCATGTACCCACATATGATTGAACTTAGAAGGAACAGCTTGTAGCATCAGGCACCCTTAGAGTGCCTTTTTCACCTTGGAAACCTTAATAATAATAGGCTAAAAAAGCTAAAGGAAGAAGAATAAAAAATGGTTTGTCCTTACTTGCACGCTAGGTTATGGTTCATTCCAAGCTAAATCATGTGGTTTTAGCTTATCACTCTTCCAACCCCACATGTTTTAGAACCTTTCCACATTAGTTAGTTCAACAAGTACTTTGCATGATTCTCTATGGGGGCCCATAGCTAGGTCATCCTTTAATACATTACAACTGTGTGGCCCATTATTACCATTTCAGGTTTCCTCTTTTTCACACTATTTGTGGCCCACTATCATCTTTGTCTCCAATGGATTAGGTTACTTTTTTTTAATAAAAATAAAAATATTTGTTAAGTTTATAATTATGCTATTTAGAGTCTAGCTAGCTTCTTAAATGAGCAAAGGATGTTGACCTTATTTGAAGTTTGAGTCTTGACACAAAATTTAGCTTTATACAAAATACTTGTATTCTTGATCAAATTTTTGTTATTAATTATTTTAGGCGTGTGCATAATATTAAATAGAGTGTATAAAAACATGTCATTTTATTTATTTAATCATCTGTAAGAGAAAATAAGGACAAAGTATACAATCTTTGAGTATTTCATTTCTGCTAATGTACTGTGAAATATGTACAATATAAAGAGCATGATTTATTCTTTCATTATTTTTTGGATAGGAAAAACACAAAGAGATTAGGACATTTTCCAAACTCTACTCCGTACCATAAAAAAGCATGATTGGGGTATCGTAAATAGCCTATACGGTAAAGAGAAAAAAACATACATATTTATTAATTTGCCAATTCAATAATTCATTGTCCATACCTTCATAATTACCGCATGGAAAGACAAATGAATATGGGTAGAAAGCATGCAAAAACCAATGTGACTAATTTGGTATGATTTTGTTACACCTTGAATTTATGTTTGCTGTATTTTTCCTCTTTTTGGAGGATTAAATCATAGTACTTCAATTATATGAGATGTCTTTCATGATTGATCTTGCTCAGCTCAGCTATTGGTTGGAAGAAATCAAAGTTGTTATTCAATTATTAGTATTTGCCATTGTATTACTAGCCAAAAACCTCAATTAATTATAAATAATTTAGGGGATATGATATTTTGTTGTGTACGAGTACAAATAATTAAGACAGTAATTAAAGGGAAAAGTAGTAGTATCAATCATCTTATAAAATTACAATATTTTGATTCCTTTTCACTTTAATTGATGTCTTAATTGTGTAAGTTTCTATGGCCAAAGTCCAAAGTAGCTCAACTGCAATTAGTGCCCAAATGAAGAAATTGCTCGGGCAACTCAGAAAGAGAAAGCAACTAACCAACAAGTATGAACATACCTTATAACTCGTTTGGTAGGTGTTAATAAAATATAATAACGATAATGAATTAATATGAGGTTTTTTTTTATGAAAAGTTTAATTGTAAATGTCCATGGGGAAAACACTCCATTCTTATAAGAAGTATGTGTTTATTTTCATGTATGTGATTATATGGTAATTAAGTTGATAAAATAAAAAAGATAAACGAGGATGAATAACATTACCATAAACATTGACATGCCACTTTTCCGTAAAACTACTTTAATCGATTTAATCACTGCTATCTTGTGTAGTTTTTATCGTCTACCAAACATATTCCAACATGGATTTTGCATATATATTCTAATGTGGACGTTGTTATCCAAACCAGAAGTTCTGACTTCCCACATGATGAACATGAAAACAGCTAACCAAACAAAGTACTACTAACTACTCTTTACTACCACTAGTACTTAAAAACTTTTTGGTTTTGTTAAATTGTACGTTTGGCGGGAATTTATTACTTTTCTAACGTCAACCGACACCAACTATTTATATACTTGAGAGAAAGAAAAAAAAAAAGTTGGAAGGTGTTTGGGGGTTGAATTTCAGGTAGATTTGGTGATCATATGTATGAATGTGACTTCTTTCCATCTATATGTTCATGTTCTTAAGTCTAGATTCGAGGGCTACAATTGAACATCAGTACATCTGACGGTCTTTAAGGTGTTTCCTGTGGAACCCATAATCGATTTAGTTGGCTCACCACTTTTTTTAGATTATAAAATATTCCACCAATTAAATTTTTATTGTATAGATCAGTAAACATGGTTTAATCATTATCCATGACTTACTTAGCTAAAGATATTATTAATACTTGGTATTTGGGCTATTGAAATGTGATATTCTCATTTTATACATGGTTTAATCCCAATTGCATAGATTCACTAAATAACATTGTCACAATACTTTTTTTTTTTTTCAACAGAATTACTAAAATTTACCACCAAAGCTTCATAGGATTCCTTATTTTGATATCTTTTATTAGATACTTATTGTTGTATATGATAATATGACATACATATGAAACAAATAATTATTGCTCAAAAAACCATAATTCTCATATAAGTAACCCACTCTCAACAAATATCGACCAGAGATAGATTTATCATTGCTGGCTTGCGTAGTCGGACAACGGGTAAGGCATACATATACACTGATACACAACATCACTTTCACTATAAGCAAGCCATAAAAAAATGTAAAGTGAACAACAGATGGAGAACATAGCGTGGGGTATAATATTAATTTAGTTGGAAATAAAGCAGAGTAACGGACTTTGGCGTGTGTTTCTGAATTTTATCTGATTCTCTTCTTCAATTCTCTTCTCTCTCAGTCACAATATTTACTCATTTTTCTTAAATTCTTTCTCTTTCTCTCTCCTCTTTTTGATGCGTGAACTTCAGAGCATCTACATTTCTCAAGAAACTCAGATTAAATAACAACTATTTCTTTCACGAGTATTCTAAGTTTACCACAACTTAAAGAAACTTATCAATGTTGGTTCTTTTTCTTTTTTGATTCTTACATATTTAATGTTGATTGATTGAATTCTTCTTGTTACTTCTTTATTTGATCCATTTTTCGTCCTTTTCGATTGATTGATCACGCCGTTTTCGAATTTTCATGTACTCCATTTTAATTTTAGTACCATACAGTTTTTTTTTTCTTCATGGAATTGGTTGAACAAGAAAGCAAAATGTTGATCTCATATTATACAATGCAGGTGATTTTGAGTGGTAGGTGATATGCATTGTTGAGCAATCTGCTAATCACGGAATAGATCTACGCTCGTAAATTTGTCGAAATAACTTGATCATATATACATACAGGTGAATTTTAATCTTAAATTTCACATATTTAAATGTGCTTTTTTTATGCAATGTTTGAGCTTTTTTTGTGTTCTTTATTTTTTATAGGATTTTGTTGAAATGAGTTGGAATCAACATATGGATTCACATTATGTTGGGAGCAATGCTCCTTACAATAGTGCTGGAAGTTTTATGGACTTTTTCGCCGGTCTTACATATAATCATGTCAATTATATCTTTTCTGGTACACAAATCCAGGTGCTTATAGTAAAACCTTGTTTTTGTGTATTTCTTTTATCTGAATTTGGTGAATTCGCGGTATAAGTGTTTGTTGAGTTGCTTGAATTGATACATTAGCTCATTGGGGTGGGTTTCTGAATGGTGCAGGATACTACATTTTCACCGGTCAGTGCTGGTTATTATAAATTCGGGTATTCAGATCCTGGGGCGTCTCAGTATTATAATAACACTCCGTCGTTTGAGGTTTTCGATCACATAGTGGATGGCACTGATGAATACACCCGAAGACCTGCTGATTTCCCTTCTCGTGAGCAGACTGCTGCTGCAAATCATCAGTCACAAAGAATGCCAAACATGAATGTAAATTCGAGCAGTCGAGATTGTAAGTTTTTAAATTCTTTCTGGATGTCTGTATCAAGATTATCTATGCATTGGAAAATATATGGTTGCTGTCCTGCTGACTGGTGTTCATGATATAGTTTCCTGATTTATTTCAAGTTGGAACCTGGTGTTACGGAAGTGGGTTGTAATTTGAGGCAATTGTGACACATTGTCACTCCTCTTCTTGAAAACAGGCTAATATCAATTGATGTAGCATAGTTTTTCTGACTACATATTGTCTTGGACTAGATGCATTTCATTTTCGAAACAGGGGCTTTACGATTGAAGAATCTTCGTCAATTAGCTACTTGTGTCACGATAACTTTGATTGTTTTAATGCATGTGTTTTCATAGTATGCGTCTTTGTATGCCACATATTCCGAGCAGATTGTTGAGCAAGTATTGCAAATATATGAAAGCTTTTCTAGCAATCATTGAATTATAATACCTATGTGGATTGTGTGCTTTATTGTATTGATCTAAAACATACATGATTTCGTCTGTTCACTAGGCTGCTTTCTTGTAGGATCCTAATTTCTGTGTCTTGTTTGTGTGGAAAATTAGTAAAGCTTTATTTATCAATTTATATCAGTCTAAGCAATAAATTTTGTGGTTTTGTTTATAATGGCCTAATGTCGAATATGTTATTGGATATTTGGAGTAGCTTTCATTCTAGGATTTGTCAAGCTTTTGTTCTCTTAAGTTTCATGGTGGCTTGAAGCATTATGTTAACTCATTACTCTTGAACTTTCAGGTCCTAGGAGTCATCACAATTCTCAAGATTACCAGGTGAAAATTGCTGTCCATATATGGACCCTATGTGCATAAATTCTGTAATAGTCACTTAGTCAGTGTCTAGTTCTGGTTCTGTATGAGGTACCTTTGACTTCATGTTTAAGGTTGATACATGATGTCAAGCTAACTTAGTTTCTGCGATTTATTTAAGTTTTGTAAAGATATTCAGACATTCAACACATCACAATTTATTAGTATAAAGCTCCTCACTATGTATTTTAACATAGGAAAACTCTGCTCCCTTTTCTTTCTTAAAGTTTGTGTCATTCTACCTTCAGATGTTGGCAGAATTTCTTTTCAAGCTCCTGCTATGAAAACCATACGCTAACATATCTACATCTAATTGATATTGCCCCTTGAAATTATGAAGTCGATGCACATTTTCATTTAATGCTTTTTGTATGCAGGCTGTTTGGCAAGACCATATAGATCCAGACAGCATGACTTATGAGGTTTGGCATCTCTCTCTTCTTTTAGTTCCCCCTTTTTCTTTTTTTGTGTTTCTTTGTACATTTCGTGCATACTTTCTTGTGTCCTTATTGATTTGAATGATAAGTAAACTGAGTCAAGTTTTGTGATTTTACTGCTGTGATATACAGATTTGACAATTGTATATCTTTGTCATGAAATGTGGAAGTGTTACTTTTAAGCTTGTGTAAATGAGTATTTGAGCCCTATTGTCACTTGCCTAGATGGGAGAACCTTAAATTTTGAGCCCCAGGTTTTTGGATTTAAATGAGTGAAATATGGAAGTGGAGTTCAAAAGAAAACATTCATCAAACCAAGTCCATGACTCTGTAACAATTGCACCATTTATTTATTTATTTATTTTACCTTCATAGGACAACAACAGTACAACTGGATTGGGGTTATTGCGTGATTTCTGAATGAATTTTATTAATCTTGTACTATGAATTTTAGATGGCTAGATTACTTCTGTTCAGAAGGTTAACATTGGCTATAATAGAATGGTAGTCAGAACTCATGGTTAACTATTCTTTATTTTCTGGATGGTAGTAGTGTCCCTTATCCCCCTTCTTTCATCAATATTCTGATGAATTTGTCTCTCTTCTTTTAATTATGCAGGAATTACTTGAGTTGGGTGAAGCAGTTGGAACTCATAGTCGAGGTCTTTCACAAGAACAGATTTCTCTGCTCCCAATTTCAAAGTTCAAATGCTGTTTCTTAAGAAAAAGGTGCCGATCAGAAAGGTAATGATGTAAATTATGTACATCAGTTGCACTTTTTATTTATTTGTAAGCGCAGATATGCTACGTATTAAATTAAATTGATGATCTGCTGTGATCGTCTCCCTTTTACCTCTCCTGTAAAGAAAAATTTTAGGGCTTCTTGTCAGAAAAATATTCAGCATATTCTATGCACTATTAATCTTTATCCAGTATAGTCTGCAATTCCTTCATTAGCAATGGTGGATTTAGCAGGGGAAGTGTAGATATGCCCATATAAAAACTGTAGCTTTATTAAAGCTAAAATGAAGAAAAAGGATGAACAGAAACATTGACAGAGTTCCGGCCGCAACAAGTGATTTAAGCTCACAGAATTCTCCTTGTTGAAATTGTTGTTGGAGTTCTGGCAAGCGGGCAACTGTCAGAACATTCCCTGCTTCACTCTTCTAGATAAACATGCCCAATATTTATGAAGTTACTAACGCGCAACCTCCTGTGAACTTGCTAATATCACAAATTTTGACTCAGCTAGTTTATTGATTTCACGAATTGTTTTCTGCAATATGCTAGATGTACTTTTAAGCTTTGACTACAATATTCTCTTTTTTATGAATGCCACTGTGGTTCAGAAAATAATCTGCTTCTGATTTGTTTCTGGTTTTTCATTTGTTCAAGTGTCATTCTTTAATTTAAGTGCCACTATTGCTCATCAGTTGCTAATTTAACAGCTTATGTGTTTCTGTTTGAAGCAGATGTGTAATTTGTCAGATGGAATACAAACGTAGAGATCGTCTAATAACTCTTCCCTGCAAACACAAGTATCATGTGGGCTGTGGAACCAAATGGCTAAGCATCAATAAGGTATAACAGCATCATCACTTCATAATTTGACAACATATATATGATCCCTAATTACTGCTGACAATCTCGTCTTTTTCCAGGCTTGCCCGATCTGTTACACAGAAGTGTTCATTGGTGCAACCAAAAAGTTTAAGTAGCTGCTGGGGTTTAGCATAAAAGAAGAGAATGTTCATTCGTTATTCTTTTTCGACTTGGTGGTTATTTCTCTCTTATAGATCCTTCTTTCATTTCCTTCAGTAGGTTTCAGTTGTTAGTTCATGCTAGTGAACTTACATTAGAGCTATAGACTTTGGATCCATAGGCATATGGGTTTCCAAAATGACCGAGGTTTGTCTTTGTGGGCGCTTTATGATTTCCATTAAAGCTGTAGTAGAATACTTGTACAGGTTTTTTATGGCACATTGGTACTCATGAGTTCCTCAGTAGAAGATTAGAAAACTTGAAATTAAGCCAAGGATCAGCTAGATTGTGTGAAATCTTACACCTGTTCAGCTTTTTACATGTATTGATTAATTTTTATTTATAAAATTTTTATTATTGTGGTACATATGGGCCTTAAGTGGACTCCCATTGACCATCATCCCGTCTTAGGCCCTAAGTCCACCTAGGTGGAAGATTCACTTCCATATTTTCCAAATGACAAACTTTCATGAATTAATAAAATGGGAGGACCTTCGTTGAGACTCGTAGGGCCTTGAGTCCATGTAAATATTTGTAAGCCATTAGATATATGTTACTATAATACTGACATAACAGATAGAGGTGTCAAAACCACACCTGATCCGATTTGAAAAATATCCAATTTAGATTTCGACTCGTGTGGATATAATAAGTTAGCATGACTCAAGTTTAAAAATAGACCCGACCTAACCTCATTAAACCCGATCCGGACATCCGAAGTTGACACCTCTAGTCCTAGATCCGTCAGTGGCTTATATGCCTTTAAATTTAAATGGTTAATATGTATTGAAAGACAGATGAAAAATTATTTAGAAATAGAGGGAAACTTCTTTATTGGTGATGATGACTTGATGAGTACTATGGAGTATTGGAGTATCGCGTAAATATTCAATTCCTAACTGTAAGACCCATCAATCTTTTTCTTCTCAGATGTGAATTTCTCTGTTTTATTTTTCGCTCTCTGTTCTTCACTGTATCTGATGTATAAAAAGAGTGTTGCAGGTTGATTTTTTGTACAAGTAATTTGCATTTCGTCTTAGTATTCTGTGAAAATGCATATCTAATGTTCCCAATGGCAGGCTGTTTTAGCATTCATCATATACTAATTGCACCATTGGTATATCCAGAATAATTACCTGCTGAAATTCAGGGACAAAGCTAGCTTGTTCCACTTTTCTTGAGTTCATGTCCTTGTAAACCTTCTTTAATTCAACGATCTTATTCTATAGTTTTTTAATACCCAAACTTTTTATCATGCACATATTAAAATCAATTAAGGTGACGTTTGGTTCGAATAATGGAAACGGAGTGGAAAGGAAACAAATAAGAGGGGGAGGAATCATTTAGTTATTACCTTTACATTTGTTTGGCTTAACTATGGAAAGGAATCAATTAAACTTTACTCCCTTTGTTCTTGTTTGGTGTATCTAATGGAAATGAATCATTTGAAAATGCAACTACTTATAATAGAAAGTTTTTGCTATTTAATATATGAGCAATTTTACTTGATCAAGTTACATACCATTATTAAAATACCATAAAAATAAGTTAGCTATAATATAAACTGATTATATCATAGCATAACAAGTACTTTTTGTAGGAAACCAAACAAATGTATACTACAAAATTCTGAAATTCAAGAACAAAATATGGTGTTCTAGCACCCATAAGCCTTAATTAAAGTTTCAGAGGCCATACATTGTAGATGATTAGCAATACTCCCACCTACTTTTTCTTAAGGAGATCTAAAACATATTGTTTCTTCAAGTTAGTTGGAGCTTGAAAAAAGATTCGAAACTTATGTTTTTCAGCCATGAGAATTGTTGCTACCTCTAAAGATTCCGAAGAGAAACACCATCCAATTTCATAACTTCTTCTAACACCTTATTCACTTCATCATCCATTTTTTGCTCCCTTTCTTCGGCTTTGGACCATGAATTTGCCATAGTTCCAAGATTTGCATTTATGTCCTCAAAAATTTTCCCAAAAGTTTTAGATGTATTATGAAGAGAAGCTACTAACTCATTAGCATCATCTACCTTTTGATGTGTCTTTCCTTTTCCCTTCATTTCTTTCATCTTTGCTTTCTTGGAAGGAGTATTATCATCCTCTTTCTTCATTGGCCGCTTATGGGATTGAGTTGTTGATTGAGTGGAATGGGTAGAATGAGTGGGAGAATCCATATAACCGTCTTCGTCACTCTCTATTGTTATAGACTGATTTGCAATTTCAACATTCATGTTATCAATAGCTCCAACAAATGATTCACTAACTTCTTCGGTTGCTTTATCTTTTGCATAGATTTCAGCAAGTGTCTCATAATGAGGAAAGGGTACTCCATACAACCCCTTTGTTTTCTTGTGAGCCTACAATGTACATAAATCCTTAATCAACTTCATTTTCTTATTATGCTGATAAATATAGTCCTGTAAAATAGTCTACAAACTGATAAATATAGTTTGAATTCAGTTTGATAGGCATGCAAAATACAATACCAAATCAAGAAAGTGATGTTCTCATACAATACCAAATACAATACTCAAATCATAAAAAATGAATTTAATAACTACTCAAATCATAAAAAATGAAGAACATAAAAAGCTTACTTACCTTAACCCATTCATCAAATACAATCTTCTCTACTTGCAACATTTTTTTGTCCGAATCCCATCCAAATCCAGAAGTAGATAACATCTCTGCCATTGCACTATATTTCTCTGTCCAATGCTTAATCCTTGACTCAATGTGTGGATCAGCTTTCAAGCCACAATTAGGTAGCACAGATTTTATCATTTCTTCCAACTTATTCATGTAACCACTCTTGAAGCCACTTTCACTTTTCCATTTAGGATCGAGAGATAACTCATGTAAATATTTTATGAGCACCGTATCTTCCTCAAAGGTCCAAAAACGCTTATTCGTACCTCTTCCTCGATTGCTTCCCTCTTCTCCCATCATATACAACTTCAAAGAGAAAATTTACATATATCAAGACAATGAGTGCAAGAGTATAGGTATCATATGGTGTACTAGAAAAAAGTAAGTAAATTAAACATATCACTAAAGAAGCAATGCCGTAATTGCACTAGAAAAAAGTAAGTAAATTAAACATATCACTAAAAAAGTAAGTAAATTAAACATATCACTAAAAAAGTAAGTAAATCAAGTTACAGATTGGTCTTAGCAATAAAGAGTATTCTAACATGAGGTGATGCAGCATCAACATCTTGTAATTTGAACCCACTACACTGAGGATCTTGACTGCTAAACTCTTCTACCTCTTGCCCTCCACCCATTAAACATATCTTGTGCTAGTGTGTTTCTAAAATTGGTCCACTGATCTGAAGTTGCAACACTTGTAATATATTCAAGTTCATCATCAGAATCATCATCGGAATCTTCACTCAACTCTTCTTCCTCTATATCATCAGTAGGCATGACTCTTCTAATTAAGTTATGTAGTAAACAACAAGCCATCACGATACGACCTTGGGTGCGTATAGGAAAAACCGAGGGACTCCTAAGTATGCCCCATCTCCTTTTAAGTAAACCAAAACACCTCTCTACCACATTTCTTGCCCTAGCATGTTTCATATTAAAATATTCCTCGGCACTTTCAAGTTATTTATCTGTCCACTCTTTAAGGTGATATCGTTGCCCCCTATATGGAGCGAGAAATCCGTCGCAATTAGTGTAGCCCGCATCAACCAAATAATAATTACCTTCACAAAAATCAAAATAAGATAATCACTAGATACCTTACTAACAACTATAATTATACTCACAAAAAACAAAAGACCTATTCCATTTACCTCGAGGTACCCTAAGACCATTTGGCCGAGAGCGAGCATTACGAAGGACACGTACATCATGGGCTGATCCTTCCCACCCCGGAAGCACATAAATAAATTCCATATTAGGTGCACAAGCACCTAAAACATTCATAGCAATTGTGCCTTTCCTGGTTCGATATTTTCCCCTTTCTTGTGAAGTCACTCTTACGTTAATATAGGTACCATCTAGCGCTTCTAGACAACTCTACATTATAAAAGACAAAGATATGACTCATTTACATACATTACATGAAAATCTAACAGAAAAAAGAACATGAATGGAATTATATCTTGAAAGGTTGCCACCTTTCATCTTCACATTCATCAGATATCGCTATAGGCTTGTGCAATAAGTGTTCATGCAACTTCAAAATAGCCCTTAGACATAGGTTAAATTGTCGACTCACTGTTTCCCCACTTCTTAAAAAGAGATTTCCAATTGACCTATTCTTTTGATGATGAGCCAATGTGTACAAAAACATTGCAACTATCTCTTGAAGAGTCATATTTCTTGTTCCACTTAAACCTCCTATATCTCTAAGCATCTCACAAATAATATTAAAAGTACGTCTATTGACACGAAGCTCACTTTTACAGCTTACATCACTCTGTCTTATTAAGTGACTCAAAAATAACGAGCGTAACAATTTCCTATTCCTTTTCCTTTTATTGATTTGAGCCCCTCTAATTGACAACGCTCATCAAATACCAAATCCAAAACAGCAAAAAAACTACAACAATCATTGTAATAACCAATCGAACTTGTTTTGCTCTTCTTTTTTTCCCAATACGAGCCATTTCAAGAACCTTAAAAATACATTCAATAGAAATAGATAAGATTCTAGTGCTACAACAAAATCATGCAGCTTAAAAATTTTCAGATTATGCAGCCTTATATCTAAACATTCAACAGAAATAGATAAGATGCTTCTCAACATGAATTATTATTGCTCTAAAATACAATATCAAAGAACATTCCCTTAGATTAAACAAACGAAATTTGTGTGATCCACCTAATCTGTATTAAACAAAGGTACAGAGAAAACTAGATTATCAGGTACTTTGTGGTACAAAAAATTAGTCAAATAAATCAGAAATCAGAAAAATTAGGGAAAAATACTCTAGAAATTAACACCATAAATCGAAAATAGCAATCAATAAATAGATCAAACATTCAAACGAAAATATAGATAAAAACTCAAATAATATTGCAATCAATCATGTATTTCGAGATAGAAAAATCAAAATATACAATCAATCAAATAGAAAGATTTATAAATTCAACAACAATTCAAAATCTAGGGTTTTGAGATAACATACCTAACTAGAGCGAAATCTAGAGCTTCGATAATTTGGGAACGAAATCTGGAGCTTCGACCAAGGAGCGAAATCTAGGGTTTCGACATTTCTTTGGGAGAATGTCGCATGAGAAGTCGGAGAAGATGAGAGAGAAGAGGCTGAGCTGTGTGTGTTTTTTGGGTTAGAGGAGAGAAACGTGATTTGTTTCTCCAGTTTTTTTTACCGGAAACAAAGTAGTGGAATGGTTTACCACTAAGAAACGTGATTTGTTACTTTACTCCTCAACCAAACAGATTCTAACGGAAACGATATCTGATTTCGTTTCCAAGCCTACAAAATTTCCGTACCAAACACCCCCTAAATCACCTACAATTATGTGATGATTAAATCAATTAAGCCACTAGGGGGTATGTAGTGGTAGCCCGAAATCATAACTAGCAAAGTAGCAATGTAGCATGATTAAAGCTAAGTGGTCTTGGTTTAAGGTTTTTTAAAAGCACTTAGGTTGACAACAGGTCAACGCGGTTGGCAAATTATAAGACATGTGCAAGATACAATATACAGAGTACTACGGGAGAAATAACAATTTATGACTTAGATTATGTTAAAGATTAACTTTATCAGTTGCTTTTGTCATTAAAGTTTTGCTCAAAAAATTTAAAGTTGCTTAGTGTTTCAAAATCCATCATCTTCCCGCTTGATCGCCCGTTTTCTCACCTACTCCGTATTTTATTTTTCTTCGTATTTTAGACTTGAACATGCATATTCTTTCTAAATCAACTTAAATGAATTCTGATTTCACACTTTATTCAATCCACTACATATGTATATAGAAGTGTGTATATTTCCTATATTTTTTTAGTCGACACAATTTAGCTCATGACATTATTCACAAGCTTTACTTTAATCATCTTTTGTGCTTTATGATTATGTGTATGATAAAATATTGTCATACAAAATCTTGTTCACATGAACCATATGTATATATTCATAATATTTATTACTTATTGATAATTTATAATATTAATTGTTGAACTTGTGTTGGCAAATGATAAAAAAGAAATGCACTTACTGCACATTTTAAGACATTATGGTGAGTTTATCTGGAAAGTGTTCGCCATAACTCATAAGTTCACTACTTCATGGCTCATCATGCCAAGAGCCCAAGACATTCTAGGCAGTTTCGCAGTAGTTAAGAGCTTTTTACAAAAGTTTTTTTAGGTGTTTGGTTATGAGCTTTTAGCTTTTTGGTTATATTAAATTCTAAAGTAGCTATTTGCCAAACACGTTTGCACAAAATAACCAATTAAAATCAGCTAATCAAAACAGCTAATGCAAACGAGTAACAATTAATAGCTAGTCACAACAGCCGCACGGGGTAACAACTAATAACTAAAAGTTAGTTGCCAAACAGGGCCGAAATCTTCTTGGAACTAAAGATGGAACAACTGGAGGCTGATGATTAGGACTGCACTTGGTAGGAAGGACTCGTGTTCGATCCCCCACAACAACAACAATTGGGAGGCGACTGGAAGCTAACCACCCAAAACTGATCCATGAATCCGGATTAGCCCAAAGGGTGAGTTGGGTGGAACACCAAAAAAAATCAATTAGGTACTAGCCCAAAATAAAAACATTCGAAACACAGGTTTACATTTAAACTGTGTTACAAAGACAAAAATAAAGTGTCCAATTGACATACTCCTTACAACGCAGGTACATGTTTAAGCGTCCGACTCGGCTATTTGTGAAATTTTTTATAATTTTAAACTTAAAAATAAAGTGTCCAAGTGACATATCTATATCCAAATATCAAGCGTCCGACACGAATATTTAATGTGAAAGCAACCGTTCGACTTGGAAAACCGGACGTTTTCCCAAACTAAGCCATTTTTGGTAAATATTAACCAAAATGGTTGCGTGGCAAAAGTATTTACGAAACTAAACTTTTAGGGTAAAACGCCGTCTTGGACAGCGTTTTATACCCTAATTTTTTTTTTTAAAAAAATCAATGTGTAAAACGCTGTCTCGGACAGCGTTTTATACCCTATTTTTTTAAAAAAAAAATCAATGTGTAAAATGCTGTCTCGGACAGCGTTTTACGTGTTGACTTTTTTCTTTTTAATTTCGTAATTTTTGATTTAAAATTTTCTAAAAAAAAATTGAATATGTAAAACGCTGTCCTAGACACGATTTACATATTGACTTTTTTTTTTTAAAAAAAATTACCAAGTTTCTGATTTAAGAAAAAAAAAGAAAATAGTTAGTGAAACGCTGTCTCAGACAGCGTTTCACTAACTAATTTTTTTTTTTTTTTTTACAAAAAATCAGAAAATTAGTTATTTTACAAAAATAAAACAAGTTTTTGATTTTTTGTTAAAAAAAAAATATGAAAAATCAAAAACTTGTTTTTTAAAAAATAAAATAAAATTAGTGAATCGCTGTCTGAGACAGCGCTTCACTTACAATATTATTTTTTTTAACAAAAAATCAGAAAATTGGTTATTGTTTTATTTAAAAAATTAAAATGTAAAACGCTGTCTCAGACAGCGTTTTACATATTGAGTTTTTTTTTTTTTAAAAAAATTTTAAATAAGAAATTACGAATTAAAAAAAAAAAGTCAACACGTAAAGACAGCGTTTTACACTTTGATTTTTTTTATTTTAAAAAACTAGGGTATAAAACGCTGTATGAGACAGCGTTTTACCCTAGAAGCTTAATTTCGTAAATACTTTTGCCACATAACCATTTTGGTTAATATTTAATACAAATGCCTTAGTTTGGGAAAACGTCCTTGGAAAAAACCCCTTTTTTGGTACGGAGCACGTATTCTTTTTTCCCTCCATTTCCTCTTATTTTACATTCTCTCGTTTTTTTTTGACTGGGCGTTGTTCTTCCCAAAATGAACACCACAATCAATTGAAATTCTTCACCAAACTTCAATTTTGTTGCTCAAAACTTCAATTGGCACAAAAAATCGAAGCAGGTAACTGTAATTATTCCCTCACTTTTATTCAAGTTTTCTGGTTCGTGATTGTTCTTGTTAAATTAGGGCTTGTAATTGCAATTTTATTTCTCCAATTATTCACTAATTATGGCTACAATTATTCATTTAGCATTGAATTAGCTCTAATTTTAAAGAACAAGAAGTATCATTCTTTGTTGCTCATTTAGAATCGTTAATCTTGCTCTGATTTTGAAGAATCTGGGTATTTGTATAATACAGTAATTGGACCCTGCCTTGCTTTGCTGTTGCTGAGTAGCATAATTAATAAACTATATGTCAAATACTATCATAAACTGTGATTATATAAAATATTATCACAGATTCAGTAGTAATGTAGCACATTAAATCAATTGCTATTCTAGTCTTAGTTTAAGGGTAATTACTGTATAAAAGCACTTATTTAATTCTATATGGTTGAGTTAAACGCGGTTGGTTAAACACAATGTCATGTGCAATAAAGCCAATTAGCCAATAATGCAATCTAGTCGCACCTCGCACCTTCCATAGTTATCACTCTTATTAGTTACCCGTAGTAATTAAAGTTTATGAAAATAAATAAATTTTAGTTTGATCTTAAAGTTAAGTTTAAAAGTTGTTATAGTGTTACAAACTTCATCCTCTTTCAAATCATCTTTCTTCTCAGACCTCAATCGCTCATTTTACCCATTTTTTTTCCTTCCGCGGTATGAGACTTGGACCCTGTTTGACAATTAGATGTTGCCTTTTAACGGTTTGTTGATGTTATTGGTTAATTTTAATCAATGAGGTCTTGGTCTAGTGGTTAAGAGTTAGGGTCTATTTATTAGAGTTAGGGTCTATGTATGATAAATCCTAGGTTCAAATTCCCTTCCCCTTGTGGCTTATTCGTACAAATATATAAATAAAATTATTGGTAAAAGTAATTAAGAAATATTCATTTCACCACCTTATATCCTCCTTTCTTAAAAGCTTATATAACCAACTTTTTCAAAATTAATCTTTATCTGGTCTCCAAACTCTATTTGAATCCAATTAGGACGCCTACTAGAGGTTTGAGTTCTTTTTGTACTCCAAACCTCTCTCAACCAAAACACCCCCTGAATCATGCATAGTCATTTTAATTACTTTAGAATAATTAACTCAAACCTGACCAATTTTACACTCTATTCAATCAATCCGCTTCATGTTATTTGTGAGCTTACAAACTCTATATTTCCTTACTACTCGTATTAGATTTAGATAAGTTGAGAAATTGGTAGCTATTTATGGAAACATTCACTATGGTCTCATTCTCTTGCCCAATTCTATACAATATAATTATTGCACTTATTTAAATAACCTAAGTGATTCATGCCATTTATGCTTGGGCGTAATTAAGAGGCTCTTTGCCAATAGTCATGTGCAATTTCAGTAATTTTAGGTAGCTTTGCAGTACAGAGTACTATTTTAGTTAAGTCAAAATCTGTATGTTTTCTTTTGGTAGTCCTGATCTTACTCTTTTTAGTCTTTAGTTGTGTCCTCCAATCCCAAATCTCATTCCATATCAGGTATACTGATCTGATGAGTAGCCTACATCCTCTTGCAACAATGCAAGATGATTCAGCTAACTTACCTGCTTCCAAAACTAATTCCCCTGAGATTCAACCTGCTGTGACAAGCCCAATTTCGAATCCGGATATTAGTGTAAAAGTTTCAGAAGATGATTCAGCTCTTGTACTATCGTCGTCTCTTTTTGATAGGATAATAAGAGTATTGCAAGCTTATGTCCCACTACGACATTTGCTCATTTCAGTCTTCGTTGGGAGCATAGGTATTGCATCAATAATACCGCTGCTAGTGGTGTCTTTTCTGGTAATACGATTACTTCAATTCGTTAGGCATGGTCATGACTATTACAAGGTCACTAAACTTAAATATCTTGTCCGTTTTTTGATGTATGGTCTTTTGATAGGGTTGGCCTTCTATTTTGGAATTGGGTTCGCTATAGCTGAACTTCTTAACTCCAAACATGCTGTTGATTTAGGGCACACCAAAGTAAGAAGTTCGTCTTTTATTTGTATTTTAGGCATATTTTTCTTAAACGTGTTTATTTCTGGCTTTATCATTCTAGTTATTCCTCCATTTCCATTAAATCATATAGAAAGTGGCATTAATGTTCGAGAAGGAATACTTGAGATAACTGACTGTATCATTTTATGGTGGATGGGGAAGTATGTGGTCATGAAATATTTTCCTACCTTGAAGAACCATGAATCCCTCGGATTGCACACATGGAAATGGATTGAGGTATCAATACTTATTCTCGTAGGCTACAATATCAGTACAATTTCTACTCATACAATCATGCTGTGGCTACAAGATTTTGTTCGTGAAAATCTTGATCCAGGTAATGACACAAAATCACTACCTATACAATAGTAGAGAAATCTATGCACAGGCCATACCTGGTGTATAGTGCTGTTGGTATGAAACACAGCATCAACTTTATATTGAGTTCAATGCTGCTTCTACTTACGTGGGCGTTGTATTTTGGTTCCCACCAGAACACACCAGGCCGAGAAAGTTTTGTCAATTGGAACCTGGACTTGTGTTAGTGTTTTGATTTGCTCTGTTATATGGTTGATCAAATCTTGTGTGTTATTGTCATGGGAGGCTGTTGCAGTCTATAAAAGATTAGATTCTAGAATCTTAGAAGGGGGAAGCAGCTCTACTTTCTTGGCATCATTGGTCGACAAAGCCATGATTTCTTTGACCTTCTCTACAGCGAAAAAGTTATGAGAAGAAACGCAGAGAGTCTAAAAAGAAGCCCATTACAGCCCAATGACGGAAAAAATGAAGAGAATAATCCGAAATCACATCTCCCTTCATTTATAAATGTCTTACCTACTGGGGCTCTCAATTCAAATTTTAAAGGGTTTTACAAGAGTGCCTTCTACAGTAAATCTGTAGCGGAGATATTCTCGAATGTGGATTTGTTTAATAATTTAATGAGAGTTTGTGACCGGAGAAAAAGTGTGGGGGATGAAGTGGATGAGTGGGAAAAACAAGGAATGAATGGACTGCATGACAAGGATGTTAAGCGCGGAGATGAAGCAGCAGCATACGTTTATGTGAAGAAATTGTCAAAAGAAGTGAAGAAAACAGCAAAAGCTGACTTGTTAATGCAGGATGACCGCACTCCCACCTTACATGGTATACAACTAGTGGCTCAGTACCTTTTGACTGCTAAAAACGCTCTATCTAACGATAATTATACTTCTGATATCCTCCTCGATCTGCAGAAAAGAAGCCAAGATGGGTAAGATATTCCTTAATTTCCTTTCATTGCTGTAAATATGATATTATATCTACATCTTAGTTTTCCTGTAAGATATTGGAGCTTAATTATTCAGCATCTTTCTTTCTTTCTATGGTTGATTGCAGGATTATCAATAAAGACATCATGAAGCAAATTATTGAAAGTAATACCCAGCAATCATCTAGAGCCCTTGAAAATGAAAGTGTGAAGGATGAGTTTGACTATTTTAAAGGTCAATTACATGATGACACAATTGATTTATCTGAAGAATTATCGCTTAATATAATAAAAGCATGGATGGTATGTGATCAATCATCTCTCTCTCTTTTTTCCACTGTTTTTCTTATAATGACTTAATTATTATCACTAAAACACTTTGGATTCTATACTGAGCAGGACAGGGCATGTTCCAATTGTTTGGTTCTTGCAAACACATTGAGCAGTGTGAAAGAGGTTGTTGATGGTTTGGATAAAATTATCAGCTTTCTTCTAATTGTTGCAACTTTTATAATGTGGCTGCTTCTCACTGGGTTGGCCTCCACGAAAATACTAGTCACAGCATCACCGTTTTTGGCTGCAACATTTATATTTGGAGAATCTTGCAAGACCCTATTTCATGGCATCATGTACATTTTTGTGGTGCATCCTTTTGATGTTGGCGATTTGTGCATCATTGACCAAAAAATGGTTAGTAATTTTTATCTTTACTCTTTTGTACTAATACTTGTTTTCCAATCAATTAGCAGGTATGATTATGATCTTGATAATATGTATGATATTATCTCCTAGATATTAGCTATGCATATCATGCTTTTGTAACCACATCGTAGCTCATATTAGCCTTCAATGCATGCCATAGGGTTGTAATTGCTAAAAATATGTAGCTTGTTCATAAGATCAATGCAATTAAGCTTTTCCAAACTCTATTATGATCTTTACTCTATTATTGTAATAGATGGAGGTTAGAACTATTGGCTTTTGGAAAGCAACTTTTACAATAGTCGGTACACAAGAAGAAGTAATGTTTACAAATTCACAGTTATCCAACAAAGATATTGTCAACCACAGGTCAAATTTCGATTGGAACGACTGTATAGAGCTTGATACAACTTCTCTAACTAAGCAAAAAATCACAAAATTGAAACAAAAAATTGCAGAGTAAGCTTTTATATTATTTTCCAATGTGTTTGTGTTTTATTTTCAGGAGTTTGTTATATGCAATATCATGAAAATTTATTCATCTTTGTTTGACCAGACACCTTGAAGATGATACAGAGAAGAAATTCACAGCAGGTTATAATTTTATCGCAGTGTTGACAACTGAAGATAAAATCAAGCTAGCCATTAACTTTAAACACAGTGTGGATTGTAAAAGTAGCATATACTCAGAGTGTTTGAAGACAAAGCAGGAGTTACGATCCGAGTTGATTCTTCATATACATGACCTGCTGGAGCAAATAAAAAATGAAAAACCAGAAACTTCAGGTTTGTATTCATTTATTAATAAAGTATTACAGTAAAATTTAGTCATTAATTGAAGAGGATTTGGAATTAATCATTAAATTTAGTTCTCAATTGTGTTGCAGAGAATTCTACAGAGCAAGCTCAGGAAAACAAGGAACTTGGAAATTCAAGCTAAAATCATCCCAATCCAGAGCAGATACAAACCTGAAATTAAAATATGTAAAATGTTACATGTTGATTGTTAAGCTAAGTTTTCAAATTCTTGTTGTTATTAAGAGGTGTAAGACATCGATGATAAATCGTTTTGATCCAGATCAGGCTCTAAAAACTATTTATTGAAGAATGCGTAGTTTTCTTGAGTAAACATATTGTTTGGATAATTGTCTACCTTGGTAATTTATTCACCAAATCTACTTGGAACTGAAGCTGGGGCAATAGGAGGCTGATGATTTTTCTCAATTAGTATTATTAGGTACTCCTGGTCTAAAACAAACACCGCTTGATAACATTAGGTTTACATTTTTACCGTGTTGCAGACTTGCAGAGAGATCTCCAGAGCAAGCTCAAAAGGCAAAATTTTCACTGGCAACTTAACAAGTCTTTCCAATGTAAGTGATGAAATACAGAGTATGGAGTACTTCAGACTTCTAAGTGGGATTGGAAAGTTACTTCTAAAATTTTCAAATTTTACCATTCTAGCCCACTAATTTTTTTTTAAGGTTGTGATAAGTTTTAGGTGACAAGTACTTGAGGGGAAAAAAAAAAAATAAAAAAATCAGTGAATGTTGGTTTAATTAATGTCAAAAATTTCAACCTTCTGAATCTTCAAAGCTGATTGCGATCTTTGAAAGTTTTTACATTTCAAAGGATTGGTATTTTAATTACCTTAATTATTAAAAAAAGAGAAGTTAAAATTGAAACTACCTTAAGTGAAGGTGTTATGCTGAAAAACTACTCGCACTCCGTACAATTATAAGTGGATGAAGTATACTCGTATATACTAGCTGAGACTCCCATTTTTTGTCGCAATAATGAAGGGTAATGCACTGTAACTTAGCTTTTATGAATTATGATTATCGCATAAAATTCTGTAGACCATCATGTTCAAGAAAAGACAGCGACGGCCCCTTCCTCAAGTCACATAAGTCACATTATAGACAAAACAAACGAAATACTAAGAATAGCGACGGCCCCTTCGTAAAGTGTACTGATGGGCTGAGTTTAAGTTTATGGGTCCTAAGTGAGCTATTATATTTCCTTGAGGTTTCTGCGTCATTATATTATGTCTTTTTTCTTTTTATTTCCGTCATATACTTTATGTGACTATGGATGAGATCTGACCCGTGGGAGATATTTATACATACTTCCAAAGTAAAAGGATAGTGGTTTTTCGAACAGCATGAACCATTAAATTTCTAAGTCAATCAAGTCAATGTTATGGTATTAATTTGTGAGTTAATTACCCTAGATATAATTCTCAAATCCTAACACATAAAAAAGATGAGTGTGTTAATTAGCTCTTTATTTGTCTTAATTTTGTGTTTCCAATCCATCGATAATCTCACTTACAAATAACTATTAAAAGAGATGGATGATGATTCAAATTTACCTACAATTACAACAAACTCCTCTAGATCATATTGTGGTAATACTGCCAACAAATGGAGATAATCCACCAATAAATGGATATCGAATTTGTAAATGGCGCCTATTCTCGCGGTCTTTAATTACCGTTTGCTTAATTGTTTCGTTGGTGTTTGAAGAACTTGATTATACATATTTTGATGACTTTTTCGTATCTGTTGTGAGGGCGGCCATTTTCATTCCTTTCATCGAATAATTTAACACTAATAATGTAAAACTACTTGGTCTCGGCTTTCGTCTACGTTATGTTGTAAGTGTTGTTATTGTGAGAGCAATCCTATGTCCTTTAGCAACTTTGTTGTTGCCTTTTCTACCGGTGTCCTACTTTGCAGCTGGATTACTTCAATTCGTTAACCATGTGTTATTGCTTATGTCAACGTCATAGGCGGTTCTGGGCCGGAGCGAGGTGGTCGACGGAACAGGGCCCCCAAATATGAGGGGCCCCAAAATATAGATATATTTAATTAAGTTTGATATAATATCATGAAATTGCAGTTGGTGTAGTGGTTAGAGCAATTGTATTGTGTATACAAGGTCCTTGGGTTCGAGACATTCATAATACAACTTTCTATTTTTTTTGGGAGCTGACAGTTGGCTTCGAATTCATCCAAATACTAGTACATTGAATGTAGTCTCCCTCTAGAAACCTCCGCCCAATTAAACAAGCAAACCCAATTTTTTTCCCAAAAATTCAGATTTTTTTTTCCCAAAAAATTTTCAATCTACTATTCTAATTCCAAAAAAACTCTATATCTTCTAAAACTCTATATTTTCTTATTTACTTTCTATTATTATCTTCATTTTCTTCAATTATTCAATTAATTTTCAAATTTTTTCATCTCCCAAAATTATTTTTCCCCATATTGGTTCATAATTTCAACGGTTTTGTCATTGGTGAAGACTTTCGATTCGACGCTTGCTGTGTATGAAGGCTTTTGCAATTTAAAACAGGTTAACAGGTTTAATTTTATTGTTTTTATTTATTTTTTTCTGGGGAATTTTTAGTGCAATATTGTTGAATTTGAGGTTAATACCGAACTGGGTAGAATTGAAAATGAGGAAATGCAATGTACGTTGTGTTTAAATGGGAATTTTTGTTTGTTGTTATATGAGAGAGAATTTCCCAATTAATTAAATTGCCAAGTTTTTTGTGATTCTTTTGTTTTCACTCTTTCTCTCTTAAAATAGAAAACCGAGTTGATAAATTGTTGATTGAACTTCATTTTACCCAGAAAATTAGTGACTTAAAGACTAGATATAAAAAGGTCTCTACTAACCAAAATAACATTCTAGTATTCTACAGTACATAATAACAACATAGCAAATAAAAAAAGTGAAGGGCTAGAACTAATACGACAGAACTTAATACTTCGTATCACATTTTGAATCAAGAAGCATAACATCAGCAAAATATTGTTAATGGAATGCACTACAGATAAAAAGCAGAGACAACACATTTGCACAATGCTAAGCAGGAAAATTTAATTTTGACGAATTTTCTGATGTAACGAATTTTTTTATCAAATAAAAATTGGGTATTAAATTTATCGAGTAGAAGACCCCATTTTAAAAAGTTGAATAGGGCCCCAAAAATAATTTGCAATTTTAGCCCCGGCACTGGTCAACGTCGTTGTATTTCGGTGTTACATTCGCACTTGCATATCATTTCTCTATGTTTTTTCCTTGGTGCCTACTTTTATTATATTTTCATATGTTTTACGTCGTGATTGTGACTATTACTATTATGCATTGCTGCCCTTTGATGGCCTCGGCATCTTATGGGACATTATGTGCGGTTTTGTACTCATTTTCCTGCATAAACTAATTTTTGGGCCTGGTCGATGCCTTGGATTATTACATAAAACTGATCATTAATATATGTTGTAATTTATGATTTAATTTTCTTGTAATTAAATTTGTTGTTCCTATTGTCATTTGCTAGATATTAATATTTTGTATTCAAAAGATTGTATAAAAAATCACATAGCTTGGTAGTAAGACACTTAGTTGTAGAATTAAAGGTTGTGGGTTCAAATCTCATGGAGAACTTTTTTAAATTATAAGTGCATGACATTAATGAGAACAAATGGACTAGATTAGTACTCCCATATTTTTTTTATATCTTTTGTTGTTGATAACTTTTTAATTTTTTTTGTATAAAGATGTTTTTTATAAATATAAAAAAAAAACATGTACATAATCCTTTTTTTAATGGTTATTTTTTTATGCTACATCATAATATTTACTATGTTATTGAAAATATATTAAATTGATGGTTAGACAAAATATATTTAATGTTGCATTATCTATTGAGCTTATACGTTTAGAGTGGAAATTAAAGACACGATATCTATATCTATTAAATATTGTTATACTGTATTAGGAATATCCAAAATTAGTACGGAGTAAACAACAATATTGATACAGAATTCAAGTTTCAGATTTTTAGTTTCATACTTACTTTGTCTAAATTTCTAGCAGGTAAAATGAAAGGGCAAAAAAAAAGAAAAAAAAAAAAATGATGACATCATATTGAAGTTTGGAGGAAATTTTTTTAATGAGAGCTTGACACATAAGACACTTTAAGGAATTGATGACATCAACACTTTTTGTTTTACTAATAGTTAATAGATTAGTACCTCCCATCTGCAAGTACTATATACCACTAGTCCAACTGGATCATTCGAAAACTGGCATTAATATTCAGGAATCACTAAAGGAGATCTTCGAGTGTCTCATCGCTTTACTGCTGATATGGGCAACACTTCCAATGTTTGTTCCTAAGGATGACTCCACTCTATTGCTCTGCGATATTTATGGTTTGAAAACTTGGAAATGGATTGGGGCTTTTATCATCATTCACATCATTTACAATGTCGTTACAATTTCTACTCGTTTGTTTGTTAAGTCGCTGCAGAAACCAGTATGTTATTGCAACAACAACAGAAGATATCTAGTGTATTGGTGCAATGGAATGAAATGCAACATCGACTTTGTGCTGAGTTCATTGTTATCTCTACTTGTTTGGGCATTGTTACATGTGACGAGGCCGAACTTGGATAAAAAAATATCGGAATATGGAACCAGGACCTGCTTCAGTATTTTAATCTGCGCGTTTCTTTGCCTGATCAAAACTTGTTATATACTGTCCAGGAAGTCTGGTTCAATCTATGTCAGATTAGAATCAAGTATCTTATAAGGAAGGAAGCAGTTGTACTTCCTTGGTGTCATGGGCCGCCACAACTACGATATCTTCAACCTTCTGTATCAAAGCGAGGGTTGTACTATTGCAAGACTTTGTTGCTTCACAGTTGGTAATAAACCTGAATTCAGAATATCACAGCAATACCGATGATGTAGATGAATGGGAAAATGAGAAGAAATTGTCCAAACAAATGAAGAAAAGAGCCAAGGACTGCTTGCTGATGCAGGGTGAACCAACTCCAACTATTTATGATTTACAACAAGTGGCTCTATACTTTTTCAAGGCTAAAAAAAGTATTCTGTTAGAGAACTATACTTCAACCATACTTGAAAAGCTGGAGAGTCATAATCGCGATGGTAATAACTGGTATGAGATGTACTTTCTCTATTATTTCACTTACACTCTGTTCTCACCTCATCTTAATTTATTTCACGTCTAATAAAATAAATCCTGATAGAACAAGGGCTAATAAGTTCAGATAAGAGAAGAGTTGATAAGTTTATGTAAATAAGAGA